ACTTAATCCTCTATAAATATGTTGTAAGAGCTCATTTGAGATCAGATTTGCTTAATCAAAAGAGTTTATTTTCGAGCTAAAGTTTGCTCTCCTTTCGGTTTGTCCGATTGTCTCTCTTGGTGTGTCCGAGAACCCTATCTTGGTATGTCCGAGATTACCCTTGGTTTGTCCGAGGTTTCTATCATTCTTCCGATAATTTTTCGAAAATTTGTGGGGGAATATGGAATTATCCCTTATTATTATGAATCTGCCAAATATATAATGTAAATCTATACTTTTTTTTCTTTTCTTTGTAAGTTATATTTTTTATATATATTTTTAACAAAAATATCTTTACTTTATTATCTATTTTCAATACTGTCATTTATCGTTTCGAAAAATGTACAGTATTAAAAACAGATTTTTTTTTGGAAATCATGAAAAGTAAAGGTAGTTTTGTAAGGGTATTTTTGTAAAAAAAATTTAAAAAAATATTTTTTTACAAAAAAAATATAGATTTTTAATGATGTGACATATTTGTCACATTTTTTAATTTGTATTATTATTGTGTGTATATATATATATATATATTGAAGAATCAGTCTGTCACAGATAGATTTTTTTTATTAAAAAAAAACAATAAGGGCATAGGCCACGCTACATATGGATGCCGCCTTACCTTAGGTCGTGTTACTGTGTTAAGTATCAAACTTAATTGCGTTGCCTTGTACACATTTTTGAAATTTTTAGTTTGTTTCCATAAAACAAATATAATAAAAAAATCGCATCAATCGGTTCCGTTCTATCGTTAGGCGATTATTTGGAAAAATCAGGAGAGAATTATGTTGAGGAGTGCACGTCACATCAAAGCTAATGCCGATTAGTAGCATAATTTAATAATTGAATCGAACCATCCATTACAATTTCGTAGACTTTTCCGATCGTTGAATTGTCAACGAGTGTGTACGTATGGCTATAAATACACCCACTCTGTGTCCATTCTCCTACACAAATCTCTTAGACTCCTTTCACCAAAAAAAAAACTTGGGTTTCTATCAACGTTTGTTGATTAAGCAAAAAAAAAAATGGCAAATCTTAAGTTTGTCGTCGTCTTGGGTCTGCTCTTCGCCATCTCCGCCGCTGTTTTGGCCGAGACTCAGGGTTAGTATAATTTCCCCTTCTCCTAACTTTAGGCTATATAATCACTATACTATATATATATATATATATATGTTGTGTAATAACCCGTGTGGGTTATGTTACTGTAGTGCAAAAGATGAACCCGACAGAAACTACTGAAGTGAAGCCGCAGCAGGCGAACTGCGGCTGCGGGCCGCGAAGGCGATGCTGCGGCGCATGCGCGTTCGGAACGCAGTGCAGCGCGTGCTGTGCGAGCAAGTTGGCCGCAGTGCGCCGCATGTTGCCCACGTTAAAAATGACAACATGCATATGAACGAACGTACGAAATAATATGTAATGTAGTAGTAATATGTGTGACGCGTGTACGTGTTGTGTCTGTTAGCATGCATGCGTGCGTGCGTGCGTGCGTGCGTGCGTGCATGGCCACTATATACCGTTAGGGTTTTATGGACTCTTGTGGGGGTTGAATAAGGGATGGTACATATTACCTTGTAATATGATACCATGGTCGTGTGTTGAATAAACTTAGTGGCCATGCATTTGTACTTTGAAATTGCGATCTTCAATGTCATGGTTATAACTATATATTCCACAGTATTACTCTATCTATATTATATATGCACAAAAAAAAATCGTTAAACTTGTTAAAATACCAGTCCGGCCAAAACTAAAATAACATATGAACAAATTGATTTTTTTTTAAAGCGACAGATATCAGGTTCAAACTTATGACCATAAAAATTATATTAAGGTTAAAGTATATACCATTTTATTTTGTTTTTTCGGTAAAAAAAAAATATAATTTTATTTAACGCCGTAAAAATGCATATGTAGAATAACATGCATTTATTTACACGCGATTATATATGTAACACATGTTCTATAGTTTAAAACACTTTCATGACTTTGGCCTCTTCTTCTTCTGCGTCCCCACGACTTCTTTGAGAATTGTTACAAATTTTTTTTTAACCAAATATACCAAGATTCAAACTAATTTTGTTGTGATTTGGAATATACGATATCTATACCGGTTGAACTAAAGTTTGGGCAGATTTTTTTTTGGTAGAATTGTTACAATTTATTATAAGTTCACATATAACACGGTTGAAAACGACCGATAAACACGACCTGGGCCACTTAAGTGGCAAGTTGTAATTTATCTGCACACTTGATATAAAAAATATTTCATAATTAATTTAGATATTTATCATTTAAATATTCGATATAAATCAGCGTTTTCCCTTTTTACTCTGAATATTAAATAAATCCAAAGATCAACTGATATAAAAAGCAAATAAATTTACCATCCGAACAAAATCGGGAGAAGATCGACACTTAACCTACTCCCCCGATTAAAAACTATAGTTTATTTCAAAGTTTGTCATAAAAACTATAAAGTAAATGTAAAAGTAAACAAAAGTTTGGAAGACATCGTTTTCAGAAGAGTTGCCCGAATGGATTTTGCTTCGATTTAATTTGGGGGTTAATTGGTTCAGTAATTTAATTATCCGAATCTTACTCTGTAATGAGGTGGCATCAAATGAAATGGGCATATATATCTCTCTTATCTTACGCAATTTATGCAACTTATAAATCGTATATGTATAAATACACGCTTAATTCTCGATTTTAACATTCGTAAACATTAATTACGTCGTATAAATAATTTTTGCATGGGTTATAAATCGATCCATATAAAGTTTACAATTCTACTAGCGATACTTTCCATGAAGTATATAGAAGGTCTATATATTATTTTAATTTATTTTTCACATTTTCATATTTAAATATAGAAGCTCTAATAAATTTTATTTTTGTTTAATAACCATCATGGTATGATGCAACGAAAACTTAGGTTGGGTATAAATTAATTTATTCACATTTTCTCTGATATCTTTCTTTTATATAAATGGTCTTATGAAAAAGGCTTATTGAAGCATTGAAAGAGTTAGGGTAATACTCACAACTAGTAACAAGGGTACAAAATTAACCAAAAAAAAAAACTATTCGTTTATTATCTAAAATTTGGGATACAAATTTTGGGTTTCATTTATTTTTAGGTTCGATATTTCACTTTTGTAAAAGTTATACCAATTTGTTTTTTTTATATTGGTTTTTAAATCGTTTTCACTTCGTTGTTCAAGAAAATATTTATTTTCTAAAAAAATATTTTTATTCCTTTTTTGTGTTATTTTTAAATTCGGTTCGTTTTAGGTTCAACTAATTGATTTTAAAAAAAACCATATCCAATCAGTTTTTAAACCGGATGTAGTTGAAAACAATTTGTATTATATGATTTGATTGAGTTTTCGTATAGATTCCGGTTATCTATCCTTATATCTAACATGAGTTACGGTCATTTTACGTATAAGTGACTAAAAATTATAAACTATATATATATAGAGGAGTTGTTTAAATCGATTTTAAAAAAAGAGTCATGGATAATTTTGTTTATAGCAAAAACTCGTTCGGTAATTATCCAAAGCTTACTTGACGAAGTGGCATCAAATGACTAGGATTTTCTACTCATCGTCTGATTCTCCCACGCCACGTATTTTATATATATATATATATATATATATATATATATATATATATATATGTTTGTGTGTGTGTGCGCGCAATATATATACACATACAGTTATATTTAATCGTGGATTGTGCATTCAAAGACGTTATAATTACATCATATCAACAACATCTGCATGGCCAAGAGTGGTTGGTTCAACTGATAAGTGGGTATGCGCAAAGAGTGCTCCACCCAGGTTCGAACCCCACTATTGACAAATCACGTATTATAAAAAAAAAAAAAACAAGACGTGAAATGCGACGAGCGACAAGTCGTGACGTAATAAGGTGGCTATCCGTTTTATATACAAAAGCACAAGTACTCCCCGCTATTCATTCTACTTTGACAATGGTTTCATCATTTCGTGAAAATTCAATTACCCTACCTAAGCCCTAAATACCAATGCATATAATTAAAACATAAGTGAGATGACAGTGGACCGTATAATAAGAGACTCAAACCAAACTTGTATACTATGATTATATTTCTTCTATATATATATATATTGTCCGAAATCTGTCTAAACAATTACTGTGATATAATTATTAGTTTTCATCTCCTAAAATCTGCGGATATGTTTAAAGAGTAACAACCTGATAATATTGTTGTACTGATTAGATTTGATTTTATAACCTCTACGAATCTACGATTACATGTTAGCCTCGAATTATGTCCTTCATTTTGATTCAATTTCATTTGTCGATAATACCTCTATTTTGACGTGTCTTAGACATTCTCATTTTTTATAAATAGTTTTGTTTTTTTTATAATCTTAAAATTCGTCGATTCTTTAACCTGATTGAGCAAACCCATGTGAATATCTCCAAACGAGGATGAATAGTCTTGTTTTTACACCTTTGATCGAATAATTTATTTAACAACAGAAACATAAATTTTCAAAGGATTTGGATATGTATGGGAGAAACATAGATATATATGGATATGGATCATCAATAAGAAGATAGATAACACATAAGATTATACATAAAACATGCATGAAAAAGGTTTATGCATATTGGTTTGTCTTGTATAATTTTAATGTAGTATGTTTTAGTTGGCTATTATATTTATTAGTGAATTTGATGACGTTGAACTTCAAGTTCATAAATCAAGATTTTAAAAATATCAACATCTTGGAAAAAAAAAAACAAAGCCCATGTCCAAATAGCAACCAAACATCACATGCACAGATTCAGTAATGAAAAAAAAAACGAAGTTCAAAAGAGAAAAAAAAAACAAAAAAGGAAACCTGTCAGATCGCCGAGCGACCACCCCAGCAGAGTGAGACCCGGGCTGAGTAACGATCCTCTACAGCCAGGGAGATGGATCCGAAAGGATCAATCGCAGCCGTCAATCACGCTCCGATCGCACGGCCCAACATTCATCCACCAGGTTTGAAGTCCTGTCTCCTTTGAACTCAAGGATACAGATGTACGAGCCTATAGAACAGATCCTGTTCAAGTAAGGTCATGACCAACCATTGGGTTTCACTTCCCTATATTCAGACAATAATATCACAAAATGACCGATGTGGGATTTGTTAATTAATTATTGCAATACTCCGAAATCTAATTTATTCCTTTTTATGGAAAACCATTTGTCAAGATTTGTCCCATATTTCCAAATGCCATATAAATCAAACTTCACGACAATGTCGTTAAGTTTCCCAGTTTATGTTTCCACATGCATATAATTCCAAATATATATTTGGAAATCAAAGGTAAAAAATGATATATCCAAATTATATAGTTAAGAAGTATTTCTTTAAATAATTCCAAATATATATTTGGAAATGAAAGGTAAGAAAATATATATCCAGGTTATTTAGTAATGAATTATTTCTTTAAATAATTTTTAATATATAAACTTAAAAAATTCAATTTATGAAATTTTTATTAGTTTACTAATTAACGCGGAGGGGGCCGCATCGTGTACATGGACCGTACGGAAGACGTGTGTGGGAGTTCATTGGGCTTGGGCTTCGACAAAAGTAATAGTCCTCTCTATATTGCCGACGCTTATATGGGCCTTCTTATGGTAGGCCCACAAGATTATTTAGCCAGTAAGATTTTTTGACACGTGTTGAAGATGCATTGGACATTGATTCACCCGGGGCACCGCGTCACTGACCAACTGTTAGAATAGTTTCCTTTAAAACACGGAAGAAAACAAAATTCAAATTTTGACTAAAAAAATATAGTACTATACAAATTCTTATATTATATGAATTCTCCACAATTCACAATAAGACGATAGAAAATTTGTTTTATCTATTTTCATGAAATTTTGTTTTCAGTAATTATATATGAATCATTATGAGTCGGTACGTTTTTGTCTGAGAAAATTGTTCTATTATAATTTAAAATGGAAAATTTTGTAGTAAATGTTAAGATATTTCTAAGACAATGGGAAAAATTCGAATTTGTTAAATGCAAGGTAATTCTTTTTCTTTGTTCCGATAATATATAATTTTTTCCGAAAAACAAATACTGGATATGTGGTTCGTACGTATGAAAATCCATTTCAACCATATATACGGACATATATCATATATAAACGTTATTACACTTTATATAAATAAAATAAAATAAATAAACAACGCCATTAATGGTCATAAGGGGACATCACATTACACGACATAGGGTGCAGTGCACACGTGCAAACCCTGCGGGTTCATGCGGCGGGTCGACAAAATTAATCAAACAATCAGATATGTTCGAATCTTAAACGCAATCTAAAATAATAATTAAGAATAAGTTTGATTCTGTAAATTTTCGAATTATATAAAAAAAATTCTATTGGTTCGTTAATTACCAATGGTCATAACGGAACACCACATTAGTGGTGATAACTTTGTATCAATCAGCGGGTCCATATAACACTTATCGTGAGACATTTCCAAGCTACTTAATTTTACACATTATTTAAATTTATGCATGGCCAATGACAAAACTATAAAAAAAACAAATCGAAGTGTAATATAAGATAAAATATATATCAGAATAGAAAATTCAAATGGGTTATGAGATTAAAAAGTAATTGGACGTAAGTGCGGTTGGAGATTAAAATTTTGAGATAACTTTTGATTATAATATAATTATAATCTAATTATTATTTTTTCTTGAAACTGTTGCCACTAATCATATTAAATTAATAATAGCCGATAAAAAAATAGACCTGCCTAATTTACCATAACCGATATATAGTGGATCGATACGCATGATTTTGCATAGATTTTTTTTAACCATCGTTCCGGTATAAGAACCGGTAAATATAAGGATTTTGTATTATCTAAAATAATCTCCTTTTGTTAAAACTATTTTTACATATAACCTCTTCGAGATATAAATATATGATTAAAATAACTATATGATCACATTGGTCATAACGTTATGGTGATTCATCGTGGTCATACCTTATACATATCATACTAATCATTTGATGAAATTATCATAAATTTAATGTTGTGATCATGTAACCATACAGTTATTTTGGTCACGTAATCACAATGAATGTATTTTTTGATATCTTGCCCTTTGAATAGTTTACTTTTTTTTTTTTCATTTCTTCCGCTCCAATATATAGAATTAACAAATAAACTATGTATAATATATTGTTCAGTTCTAGATATCTATTATTTAAATGGTAAAGTTATTTTAAAATGAATCATTTCTTTCCAAAACTCAAAAGGAATTTTGCTTCATCTTTGAAACGAGGAGCCCAATCAGTGACTCTCAGTGAACTGTCGGCAAATGAAATCCGCCATTTTCTTACATCCTTGACTTCTCCGCGCCAATTCTTTACCATCCTAGGCCACGTTGCATATATGGATGCGGCCTTATCTTATATAGGCCACGTTACTGTGTTAATTATCAAACTTAATCGCGTTGCCTTGTATCATTAGGCGATAATTTGGAAAAATCAGGAGAGAATTGTGTTGAGGAGTGCACGTCACATCAAAGCTAATGTCGATTAGCAGCATAATTTAATAATTGAATTGAACCGTCCATAATTCCATTTACTAGACTTTTCCAATCTTTGAATTATCAACGAGTGAGTGTATCTAGCGTCTTCTATAGAGCCATCACTCTTGTCCTCTTGCTTAGCTCCCTGACTATAAATACACCCACTCATATGTCCATTCTCCTACACAAATCTCTTAAACACCTTTCACCCAACAAAAAAAAAAATCGGTTTCAAAATCAGCGTTCGTTGATTAAGGAAAAAAAATGGCAAATCTTAAGTTCGTTATCGTCTTGGGTATGCTCTTCGCCATCTCCGCCGCTGTTTTGGCCGAAACTTCCAAAGATGAGACTCATGGTTAGTACAATTTTCCCATCTCCTAACTTTTTTTTTTTGGTTGAATCCCATCTCCTAACTTTAGGTTATGTAATCATTTTACTCTCTCTCTCTCTATATATATATATATTGTGTAATAACTCGTGTGGGTGATGTTACTGCAGTGCAAAAGATGAACCCGACAGAAACTACTCAAGTGGAGCCGCAGCAGGCGAACTGCGGCTGCGGGAGGCGAAGGCGATGCTGCGGCGCATGCGCGTTCGGAACGCAGTGCAGCGCGTGCTGTGCGAGCAAGTTGGCCGAGGCGGAGGAAGAGGCCATCGTGGTCGAGCCAGACGCTGCAGTACTTGTTGTTAAAGATGACAAAACATATATATGAACCGAGCGTACGAAATAATGTGATGGTTATGTAATATAGCAGTAATATGTGTGATGCGTGTACGTGTTGTGACTATAACGCATGCATGCATGCGCATGCATGGCCACTATATACCACTAGGGTTTTATGGACTCTCTGTGGGGGTTGAATAAGGAACGGTACGTACGTACTACCTTGTAATATGATACCATACTCGTGTTGAATAAACTTAGTGGCCATATATTTTTTACTTTGAAATTGTGCTATTCTCCAATGTCATGGTTATAACCATATATTCCACAGTATTACTCTATCTATGTTATACATACACACCAAAAAAATCGTTAAACTTGTTCAACTATCACTTGGTACTGTTTTTTTAAAAGCTACAGAAATCAGATTAAAACTTATAACCGTAAAAAATATTAAGATTAAACTCATCCTCCACGACCAACACCCCTCCCACAAATACTTTACCCCAATCCCCATCCACTTACCCACAAAACACCAGCAACTTTAATCCTCCCCTAAATTGCCAGCCTGCAGAACCCCTTCCTAACCCAACCACAAACCCACCACCCCCGGTTTCCTTATCTGATTTCACCAAGGACTCAGCTTGGCCTTTAGACATCTCCTCTCCTGCAGGGGCACTCTCTTCCGCCTAAAACTTTTTATGGAAGAGTTTTTTTGGAACGTCAGAGGTCTTAATGACCGGCGGAAACAAAAGGCAGTTCGTGAGTTTCTCAAGCACAATCCACTCTCTTTTGGAGCCCTTTTGGAGACTCATGTAAGACAACCTAAAGCAAATCAGATACTACAAAATCTTGGAGAAGATTGGATTCGTTTGGATAATTATCAGTTTGATGATAGTGGTCGAATATGGTTCCTTTACAAGTTCCCCAATGCAGTCTCTGTCCTACACATTAGCCAACATACTATCACTGTTCTGATCAATGTCCCTGGGTCACTGCCATTTTTCTTCACTGCCGTATACGCCCCGAACACTCAAGCTGAAAGGGAAGTTCTATGGCAACGCCTCCAGCAGATCCATACCAGTATCGTTCCGACTTCCTCACCCTGGTTGGTGGGAGGTGACTTCAATGAAATCCTCCTTCCAACTGAACACTCTTCTACCACCTTCAACCACCAAACACCAGCCATGACAACCTTCAGCCATTGTATCTCTTGCTTCTGGAATTGTAAATTGACAAACAGATTTTCTTGGATCCTCAGGAAACTCATCGCCATCAAGGAAAAGGCTAGAGGCTTATTGAAGAAGCAGATAAAAGATGGCAAGGGTACCAGGTTCTAGTTTGAAAACTGGGCAGGCGTCGGACCTTTGCTAGCGCTAGCTGGAGCCACAGGCCCTCGCCTCCTCCGAGTGCCTCTCGAAGCCACAGTTGCACAGGCTGCACCTGACGCTGCCTGGTATTTTCCCGGGGCACGATCTAAAGTCATACAACAACTTCAAATTGTAATCGCAGCCATTGATCCCCCTAATGAATCAGAAGGCTGAGACATCACTCTATGGAAGCAGGCAAATGGAGAGTTTCAAGCGTTGTTCTCCTCGGCTCAGACTTGGAGCTTGATCCGGACTCGATCTCCTCAGGTAGACTGGTGTTCTGAGGTATGGCCTCCGGTTACGACACCGAGAATGGCTCTCCTTATGTGGCAAGTGAAGCTGCAAAGATTACCCACGACAGACCGATTACAACGATGGGGAATCCAAGTGAATACTGTATGTTGTCTTTGTGGTCTTGGCACGGAAAGTCATCTTCATCTTTTCTTTGATTGTCCCTATAGTTTCGCGGTATGGAGTCATTATGCTAGATGCTGCTGGGATTCTCCACCTTCTGATTTGGGACAGGTTCGAGACTGGCGACGTAGGGCCGACACTGTTACGAGCAGAAACAGAGGACTGCTCGTAAGGATTCTATGTCACCTCACGGTGGATCTGATTTGGAAAGAGAGGAATGACCGAATGTTCAGGGGCACAGACAAAACCATTCGAGACGCTCGGCTCAAGCTGGACCGGAGGATGCGAACCTTACTATTTTCAGCTCGGTTGAGAATCAACTCAAAACACCAACATTTACTCAAGGATTGGTATTACTTGACGGAAGGCCTACGATAGAAGAATGGAGCTCATCCAGATAGATCTTTTACCATTTGCAAATGGGAATCTGAATTTTTGTAAATCGTTTATCATGTCATATGTACTGATGTATTTTTGGAACTTTTAATACAATCACATTAAAACCAAAAAAAAAACTTGGTTCTCTCAATTCCCGGACAGCTAAGCTGTCTTCCGACTCCCTCATCCTTCGGACCATAGCCCGTGTATCATTCGGGACTCCCGTATATGCACCCTAAGCCTAAACCTTTCAAAATTTTCAACTTCATCTCTTCTCACCCCAAATTCTTACCTATTATCCAAACCTCGTGGACAATGGCGGGTAGGACGGCCTCTACTCTCGGGGCTTTTGTTCGAAAACAGAGGCTTCTAAAAATCCCGATAAAAACTCTATGCAAAGAGAACTATAGTGACATCAATAGGCGGGTTGTCGAAGCTCACACTACTCTTCTTTTGATGCAGGAAGATGCACTAAGAAACCCTTCAGAAGCTAGCTTCAAGGAGGAGCAAAAATGTGCTGAAACTTGGAATCATCTCTCCAACATTGAGGAGGAATACCTTAAGCAGAAGTCGAGGATTCGTTGGTTGAATGTAGGGGATCAGAACAACCGTTTTTTCTACCTAACCTTAACAGCGAGGCGGGGCAGGAATTTTATCCACCACATAGTCGACGCCAACAACAACACTCTCACAGCCTTAGAGGATATAGCTCAAGAAGCAGTGGACGTTTTTCAACGAGGAATCGGAACGAGTCCTTCTGATGTGTCAATCACGGCCACAACTGAGCTTAGCCACCTACTGACCTCCTCCATCAGATCTGACAGCTCTATTGGTATGCTTTCTGTTACTACTTCTCTGGAAGAGATCTTTAGCACCCTGTCCAAAATGGCTTCCAACAAATCTCCGGGTCCCGATGGCTTCACGGTGGAATTCTATCGAAAGTCTTGGAGTGTTGTAGGTGAAGAGCTGATTTATTGCATTGGGAACTTTTTTAACGACATGCGGATGCCTAGATCTGTCAATTCGACATTGTTGGTCCTCATTCCGAAACGCAATGGAGCGGACTGTCTTTCAGACTTTAGACCTATTGCTTGTTGCAACTCCTTGTATAAGATTATTGCAAAGATCCTAACCAATAAGATCAAGTCGGTTATATCAGACATTGTCAAGCCGAATCAGTCGGCTTTTATTAAGGGGCGCCTGATATCAGAAAATTGTTTGCTAGCCAATGAGATAGTTCGGGGTTACCAACGATGTGGTGTATCTCCTAGAGCCACCATCAAAGTGGATATAGCGAAAGCTTTTGATACCATTAGATGGGATTTCATCCTGATGGTTCTTCGATCCATAGGCCTTCCTAGCAGGCTGGTCTCTCTTATTGAAGCTTGTATTACGACCCCTGCCTACTCAATTGGAATTAATTGTTGTCAATTTGGTTACTTTAATGGTATGAGAGGATTAAGGCAGGGTTGTCCGCTTTCTCCTTACTTATTTGTACTATGCATGAACGTACTCTCTCTCATGCTAGATGCAGCTGCAGATTCAGGTGTTTTCGACTACCACCCCGGATGCAAAAGAAACAGAATAACTCACTTAAGTTTTACCGATGACCTCCTCATCTTTGTGAAAGGTGATCTACGGTCGATTAAAGGAGTTCTTGCTGTCTTACACAATTTCTCTACTGTATCAGGCCTCACTATTAATAGGAACAAATCCTGCTTCATATTGGGTGGCTTTGCGGAAGCCGACATGAACACTCTGCAGATCTCTACAGGGATACGCACTGAGTCTCTCCCCTTGAGGTACCTCGGTATTCCCCTGATTTCCAAGAGATTGAGTATGTCCGACTGTCTGCCTTTAGTCGAGCGTATCAGATCTCGTTTTTCCTCTTGGACTGTTAGAAGCCTCTCTTTTGCTCGCAGGCTAAGACTACTTGACTCGGTTATTGCTGGAATTGTTGGATATTGGCTGCAAGTCTTTGTTTTACCGAAAGCATGTATAAGAAGGCTTAATACTATGTGTTCCAGATTTTTGTGGAAAGGATCGCCTGATGTTGCAGGGGGTGCTAAATTGAGCTGGTCCAAGGTCACCACTCCTAAGCAGTAAGGAGGACTTGGGCTCCGAGATTTGCTATCATGGAATGGGATCAGTCTCCTGAAACTTATGTGGTCCCTTTTCTTTCGTAGTGGTTCGTTATGGGTTGCTTGGATAAACACAAAGTATCTAGGTCGAGGTAGTTTCTAGAGTATCAAGCCTAACGCTAGTCACTCATGGTGCTTTAGGAAACTGCTAAAAGAACGGGGAACCGCTCGAATGTTTATCTCTAAGGCTGTTGGGGATGGAAAAAATACATGGTTTTGGTATGATAATTGGACTCCTCTAGGCCCTTTGATTGAGTATCTTGGTGTTTTAGGTCCTAGAGTGATGGGCATACCCCTTCATGCCAAGGTAGGGGACCTTTTCCAGGCTGGTGCATGGTCCCTTCCCCAGACACGATCTGACCGAGCCCTCTCTCTAAGTGTTCATCTCTCCGGTTTGACTCTCTCTGATAGAGAATATGCTAATGTCTGGTCCATCAGGGACAAAGCCTCAAACTCCTTCGTGACTAAACAGGTCATATCGATTATTTCTCCTACTATTCCCTTAGTGGAATGGCACAAGATTGTTTGGTACAGATTTTACACCCCTAAGCATGCTTTCATCACCTAGCTCTTTGCCCTTGACCGATGTCCTACGAGGGAGCGGATGTCAAGTTGGGGGGATCTCTACCCCTCTGAACTGCCTATTCTGCGATCATTCATCTGAGAGTAGATCTCATCTACTTTTTCAATGCCATATAACGCAGACCTTATTCCGACAGATCATGTCGAAATGGGGCCTTCTCCCGGCCAACACCTCTTGGGAAGATATCATAACATGGCTACTGCGGAATTGGTCTTGCAAGGTACGACACTTGGGTGCATGTATTACTTGGCAACTCTTTATTTACACTATTTGGATGGAAAGAAACGCTAGGATTCATAGGGCTACTTTCAAGGATTCATCTGTAATCCGGAAGGAGATAGATCGAGCTATTAGAAATAAAGCGGCTGCGGTACGATTATCCGATCAAGCATTGGCGAGCTCTCTGTTGCAACTGTGGTTCTCTTCTCCTTGACTTGGAATTTATGATATGCTTATCAGTTTCGTTGGGTCTTAATAACCATGTATTTTTCTAAAATTCATTTTGGGATTTAGCCTCCAATACGCCTACTTTACATACTCTTTATGTATAAGGTTTTTTGTTTAATTTAATACATATACAACCTTTAACAAAAAAAAAGTATATATCATCTTATTTAACTCCGTAAAAATGCATACGTAGAACTCGAGCGTTTATTTACACGTGATTATGTAACACGTGTTCTATAGATTAGAACACTTGGGTTTAGTCTCTTCCTCCTGTGTCTCCACAACGTCTTTGAGAATTGTTACAATTTATTATAAGTTCTCATACAAGGCATCGTTGCAAAAGACCGATAAACACGACCTGGCCTACTTAACTGGCAACTTGTAATTTATCTCCATAGTTTATATTTAAAAAAGATTTCATAATTATTATTTAAATGTTCGATATAAATCAGCGTTTTTCTTTTTTACTCTGAATATTAAATAAACCCAAAGATCAACTGATATAAAAACAAATAAATTTACCGGAATTGAATCCGAACAAACCATCTGGAGAAGATCGACATTTAACCTACTCCCTGATTAAAAACTATAGTTTATTTCAAAGTTTGTCGTAAAAACTATAAAGTAAATGTAAAAGGTAAACAAAAGTTTGGAAGACATCGTTTTAAGAAGAGTTGCCCGAATGGATTTTGCTACGATTTGGGGGTTAAATAATTGGTTTCGTAATTTAATTATCCGAATCTTTCTCTGTATGAAGCGGCTGTATGAAGCGGCTGTTAGAAATTTTCTAACAACTGTATTTTGGTTTTAATGTCATAATCAATATCTGATATAATTGTTGTTTAATGTGAAGATTATGACCACTAATTATGTGTGGTCACATATGCAAATACAGAAAAATATAGGAGCCAAATAATTATACATATAGCATGAAGTGTAATTTCCTAATTCTTTGTAGGTGGATTTGGAAATTACACAAACCTATTACTATAAATAGTGGTAGTGGTCCCTAGACTAAACGTATTGAAATCTGATAGCACTCATTTGTTGTCAGAATAATTTTTCTTACATTTTAGACTAGAAGGCTTTTTATCTATTCTGTCATTTGTCCAGTTATCATGGATTTATGTATGTTCTAAATTTCAGAGTAATTCTTTGTGTGGTATGCATGATGATTGGTTCCACACCGAGTTATTCCGGAATTTAATATATCTCTTACCTGATGTAAATATGAACTTTGACTTTAATTCGTTTTTTGTGTTATTTTAAAATTCGGTTCGTTTAAGATTCAACTAATTGATTTTAAAGAAATGGTATCCAGTCGGTTTTTATATCGGATATGCGGTTGAATACAATTATGTATTATATATTTTGACTGAGTTTTCGTATAGAATCCCGGTTATCTATCCATATATCTAACATGAGTTTCGGTCATTTAACGTATAGGTGGCAAAAAATTATAAACTATACATATAGGACTCCTGTAATTTGATTTCAGGCAAAAAAAAAAGTCATGGATAATTTTGTTTATAGAAAAGAGTATGGAAAATGGTGTTAAAAAAGCGAAAGGTACTTTTGGTTTTAGGATAACTTCGTTCGGTAATTATCCAAAGCTTACTGGGTGAAGTGGCATCAATTGAATGGGATTGTCTACTCATCGTCTGATTTTTTCCACGCCACGTGTTTTCAAAAGATATAAATATATATATACACACAATTTATTTTTTTTTTTTTTTTTTTTTTTTTATTTTTTTTTTTTTTTTTTTTTTTTTTTTTTGATACATTGGGGAACCCCTGTGACTACCTACCCTTACAAACGGAGACGAACTGGCCACCACCTGCGCCTAACAGTCCCCATGGACCTCAGTCCGCCGGACCTGGCCATCAGGCGCGCCAAACGCTCGGGCCGTAGTTGGACTGGCAGGCGAGCAGGTCAGATGGAAGAAGGAGCGGCGGGAGGAATCGAACCCCCCACCTCAAGGAGTTGCCCCCTGCCTTCTGCCACTTGACCTGGCCCCAAAAGGCGATACACACAATTTATTCTACCTATAAGAAACCATATACATATGTATACACTCATATTTCATCGTCGATTTTGCATTCAAAGACGTTAATTGCATCATATAAACAACATCTGCATGCATGGGTTTGTAAAGGGTACACGTGGAATGTGACGAATAACAAAGTCATAACTTAATAAGGTGGCTATCCGTTTTATATACAAACCACAACTCCCGACTATTCATCCTACTTTAACCCAAAACGAGTCGACTCGTTTCGATCTGAGTTGAACCGAGTTGGATCATTTGACACTCTATCTTATAGCCAAGGAAAAAAGTTAGCGAGGATATATGGAGAATTTGCCATAGCTTGTGTTTTGGAATTTTGAATGAATTTAGACCATTTGATTCCATGATATGACATATTAGAAAGTTGCGGGACAAAAACATTGAACATTATAAACAAAATTGTAATAACAATGAAAATTCTATAACTGGGCTTTGAACAGTGTGGCTCTCCGGAGGCTGGACTTCTGTATCGACATCAAATTTGCTACTCCAATGAAGCCCTAACGGGAAATTAATTATCATATATTAGATACGACTCGGGCCAATAAAAACAGGCTACTCCAATTTTATTTTTTTTTGGGTAACCGGGTTTTCTGGGCCGAAGCCCAGACTAATCCCGGAGCTGGGAGCCAGCCATGTGATTTGAATTATGCGCTCCCTCCCCAGCCTGAGATTCGAACTCGGGACGGGACAGACGCTCTGCGCCCCCGTTTCACCGGTTGAACTACCCAGGTTGGGTGGGCTACTCCAATTTAACTTAATCTAGTAAATTATTTGCAGCTTCTTCAAATTTTACAGAGTGAATATGAAGTGATATATATATATATATAAGAGCACTGTTTGCCGCATATACATATTATATTTAGTATTATTATTTTTTTATTTTTATTTGGTTCACGAATAGATTCATTAATTCGACGGTTTAGATCGAATCAGAGTTTTACTGACTAGTAAAAAAATGAATCGAACTAATTGAATCGAAAATAAGCTGGTTTGGACCGATTTATTTTATTTTACATCACTAATTCAACATTCCAAAGCGCCCACATCCAAGGTTTTTTGTCTTTCAAGTTTTAGATTTTTATATTATTAATTATTTTACATTTTTAATCTATGAAGATTTTTAATTTCAAGTATCGATTATATAGATCAGTCAATACCATCAAATTTTCCATAAGATGAAATAGTCTCTTATTCAATTTATTTATACATACGAATTAAAATTATTATTATTATATAATGAATTAATAAGAAAAATTAAAATAAATATCTCAAATAAATTTAAAAATTATATCAAAATAAGATTTATAATGTTTAAAAGAAAAATGTCTATTATGTCTATTTTTCTAAATGAGAGATACATGTAAATTTGTCAATAATTTTAAGTTTTTTTAAAACTTTATACTATTTTATTTTTTAAACTGATTTAATACCTAGCTTTTAATTATATTCAAATTAACCATTTTGATAACATTTTTGGTAGATTAATTAGAAAATATTGATAAATATTTCAAATAAAAATAAAATTATGATTATAAAATAATTGTTGATTTGTTAATACTGAATGATCTTATGATGTAAAATCCACACGTATAATGCTATCATATTAGATATATTTAAATTTATATTATTTTTTTACATTTTTCTAAAAAATATTATACGACCTAATTTATTATTTTAGCACAGGCTTTTAAACGGCTGTGTACATTACATAGTTTCCGAGCAAAACATATTAAGACGAGAGACAGGTCAAGCGGCAAGAGGAGCAACAATCGATCTTCGATACTGTAACGTAATCTGTGTCGGACGTGGAAAAGTCTACATGCATGCATGGAATGGCCTCGTGGTTCCACGTGTTATACAGCCGATCTCTACCTTCACTGTGATGCTTACACGTGTCAAAAAGTAAAATCAAAGATTGAGTGAGCTTTGTTCTAATTAAGTCATGGTTTGATTCCTTACTTATCCCATTTTCAGATTAACGACTTCAATCCGAAAATTATTTGTAGATTTTTTTGGGGGCACTATATAAACGTGATAACCCAAAAAAAAAAATGGGTTTATTTCAAATTAAGATAATAATTAATGTGGATTAGTAGCACTAGTAATTACACATTGAACCATCCGTTGCATTTCGTAGACTTTTTCCACACATTGAATCGATGAGTGTGTGTATATATCGATAGCATCTTCTGTCAAGCAATATCTTGTCACATTTCCTAGATCCGCGACTATAAATACATCCACCCATATAAGTCCTTTCTCCTACACAACACCCTTAGACATCGATCTTTACATAAAAAAAAAAACTTTGATTTCTCTCTCAGTATTTGTTGATTTTGCAAAAATGGCAAATCTTAAGTTTGTTGTCGTCTTGGGTCTGCTCTTCACCCTCTCCGTAGCTGTTTTGTCCGAAACTTCCAAATATGAGACTCAAGGTCGGTATGTATATATATATATAGGCTATATAATCATTGCATTTTTTTTATTGAGTCTTGTATATTGTTATAACTAGGGGTGGGCGTTTCGGGAAACGGTTCGGATTCGGGACGGAATAACTCGGTTCGATTCTTTCGGTTTTACAAAAATAGGTACCAATCGGGTTATTTATTGTATTCGGTTCGGTTTCGGTATCGGTTCGGTTCGGTTCCGGATTTTATTAAAAAAATGATAGATTTCCTTTAAAAATATTCGGTTTTTCGGGATTTTTAAAGTTCGGTTCGGTTCGGTTCGGTTCCGGAAAAATTCGGTTCTCTAAAAATGGTACCGTTCGGGAAAAATACCGTTTAAACGGTTCGGTTCGGTCCGGTTCTGAAGAACCGAACCGAAACGGCCAGCCCTAGTTATAACCATCTAGATGATATCATACCCACGTGTCATATATATGGTGTAATAACGTTAACCCGTGTGGATAATGTTACTATAGTACAAAAGGTGAACCCGACGGACACAGCGGTGGAGCCGCAGCAGGTGGGCTGCGGTTGCGGGAGGCGAGGATGCTGTGGTTCATGCGCCTTCGGACAGTGCAGCGCATGTTGTCCGAGGAAGATGGCCGGTGCAGAGGAGTCCGGCGAGACCGTGGTGGAGCCGCAACAGGGCGGCTGCGGATGGCGCGGTTGCTGCGGTCCATGCGCTTTCGGCCGTTGCAGCGCTTGCTGCCCCGCGTGAAAGATAAAACAAGAAAGTTTGGCATAAAACCCATGCAACGTATAATGTAATGTTATGTAATATATAGTACGTAATATATGCGTGCATGGCCACTCTTATGGGGTTGAATAAGAAATTTTACTGCCTTGTAACGTACGTGCCATGATCATGTGTTGAATAAACTTAGTTCGCATATTGCACTTTGTGTTTATGCCTTCCAATGTCATAGTTATAACTATATACTCGTTGACATAGTACTAATATAAAAACGGAAGTAGGGATCGATTCCTTCCGCCGCTCCTTCTTCCATGTGACCTGTTCGCCTGCCAGCCTGTCATAACGGGCTGATTTACCTCCTACGTGTGTGTCGAGGCTCCCGTGCGTGGGCTTGGGGTTTGACCTGCAGGCGCCTAAGCCCAACTACGGCCTGAACGTTAGGCGCGCCTGGTGGCCAGGTCCGGCGGACTGAGGTCCATGGAGACTGTTAGGCGTGGGTGGTGGCCAGTTCGTCTCCGTTGGTAAGGGTAGGTAGTCACAGGGGTTCCCCAATGTATCAAAAAAAAATATATATATATAAAAACGGAAGTAAATAATGTTTATGAATGTTTTAAAGTTTTGGCATTTTTGGAACGTCAATTTCATACCAATCATGAATTTCTATACGAAATATTAAAACGTTAAAGGCAAAATTTTGATTTGAATTTCATTTTAATAAAAACATATTATTTTTTAACTTCATTTTTTTTTATCAAATTTGCGTGGGCTTGGGGTTTGACCTGCAGGCGCCTAAGCCCAACTACGGCCTGAACGTTAGGCGCGCCTGGTGGCCAGGTCCGGCGGACTGAGGTCCATGGAGACTGTTAGGCGTGGGTGGTGGCCAGTTCGTCTCCGTTGGTAAGGGTAGGTAGTCACAGGGGTTCCCCAATGTATCAAAAAAAAATATATATATATAAAAACGGAAGTAAATAATGTTTATGAATGTTTTAAAGTTTTGGCATTTTTGGAACGTCAATTTCATACCAATCATGAATTTCTATACGAAATATTAAAACGTTAAAGGCAAAATTTTGATTTGAATTTCATTTTAATAAAAACATATTATTTTTTAACTTCATTTTTTTTTATCAAATTTGTTAAATATTTTCATACTCTATTTGGATTTTTTTTTCTTTTTGAAAAATATGTATATAATTTATATAATTTTATTTACAAATAATTACATACTATTTTTTTTTTTGATAATCCGAAAGTTCACCGGACTTTGCATGTTCTCTCACCACTAGGCCACCCAAACTTGGATTATACTATTTAAAGTTGTTGCACTTACAAACAGTGTTTACAAAAGTTTACATACAAAATCTTAAAACTGCACCTGTTTTAAAACAAAAAAAATATTCTAAAACATCGGAGAGATTAGACATTTCGAAAATTATATTGATTCATATCCCTAATCATTTAATAAATTCAATTATATATGTGAAGAATGGCTCGAACCTACGAAGAACAGTTGAAATAACCTCAGAATGAAGAAAGACTCTGGACGAGTTGGAGGCTTCGTGAGGACAGTTCGGTAATTGACTCAGACACGGTTGTTATGGTTGTTCAGCGGGAGGGCAAAAACGTCATTTGCAAGACTAATAATGTATGAAGAAGAGAGAGAAGTTCGACTGATTTTCTTCTGGGTTCTCTTTCTTGACGATTCTTTTGTCGCGTCAATATCTGTAAACAAAAACAATATATATATATATATATATATATATATGTACATATATATATATATATTTCGGTTTAATCGTATGAATCTAAACATCTGTTCAATAAAAAACATACAATTATCACCGATTTTTTCTCCGCTCCAAATTACAAGAATTAGCTATATAACATTTTTATTGGGAAAAAGGTTATCCAGCAAAAAACAAGTAGGTATATACTGTCAAATAAGGAAAGTAAGGAGTAGGAGTGGATATTTCAAATAATAAAGATGATTGAATCGAATATACCAACGAAAAAAATTATTTTAAAATCCATGTACTATTATTTTTTTTAAATCAAATTAAATAAATACGAATTAAACATAAAACAATCTGATAGTGGTGTACTCTTTTAACAAAAACTGGATATATATATTTTTTTAAATAAAAAAAATCGAAAAAATTGTTGAATGTGAAATTGATGGTAATCAAGTACAATAAAAATAATAGAAATAAATAACCAGTTGATCTGAATCAAACCATAGTTTAAAAACGAGATCAAAATCAACAAAATCAGAGATATTGTCAACAGGGTGGGGCCCAATTTTCAGAAATTAGTGGACATGCAATCAAATTCTCTGGATGGGCCCAAATCTATATGTGGCCCAAATGGTTCCGTATGTGGGCCCATCTTCTTTATCTAACTATTATTCTAAGCCACGTTTTTTCACTAGGGACATCCCCCGAGTCGACCGTTCCTCAATTGGCGTCCTTGTATTCATTTGCATGGCGCAAATTCCACGTGGACCCATTCAAGTGTCCCAAATCTTCCACTTATTTCGCGGCATATTTTCTTTTTATTTGGACTATTTTTAATGTTTTGAATGTTGAAAGGTGGTTTAACGATGTGTTAATTTTTTTTTCTTTCTAAATTTAGATTCAAGTTTTTATTTGAAAAGGGATATTCATCTAAGCTTTTTTCGATTTTTCGACAAATATAATTAGATCGAAAAATACGTTGAATTTTCAGATTATAAAAAAAAAATGAATCTAATGAACATAATTTCTATAATGTATGCAAAGTGTGGATATTATGCATTCAATATTCAGAGGTTGATGGCCGAAAAGGGGAACATGCAGGTCCAATTAAAGATGGCTAAAGAAATCATAGCCATAGAAGGTAGCTTTAATAAAGATGTGTATATAGTAAATGGTGCAATCTATGATAATTATTTGTTTTGAAGTGTTTTTCTTTAGAAAATGTTTGAACCACACAAAATAAAGAAACATGACTTATTATATATACATATATATATATATATATATAAAGTTACGTATATGATAATTTTTTATACAGTAAACCGGTTATAGGTTAAGTAAAGGAAAATTATATTTAAAAATAGCATAAATTTTCTAGAAATTTGTGAACCGAGACGAAAATGATCTATTTTTATTTCAACTATCCGTTATAAAAAAAAATAACTATTTTATCTTTGTATTAAGGTAATACATTTAGAATTTTTGCGGTATACCATAATCCACATATTTAGATAATAAAATATAAATTTCAATTATTTTAAAAAGAATTTAATATTCAATCTATAACCTTTAGAGCATCAATTATAATTATTTTCCTAATAGATTTCTAAAAAGTAATAAAAATAGAAAAACATCTCATAAAATATCCCTATATCTATGTATGTATATCCGCAAAACTCTTACAAAAAAAAATTTGATGTGTTCATAAAATAAAATATACATAGATTTCTGATTACATAGAAGAATTTCGAATCTACAAAGTATTTTTTTAATTCGAGTTATAAGTTTTATAAACCTATTATGTTCGAATGTGGCCTGAATTGGCCTGACGATGATATTATGTTTAAAAGGATCATTAGGCAAGTGAATTAGCTGAAATGCATTTTGATTACGACCCCATTGAAATGCCACGTCATCCTTCTGCTTATAGTTATAAACGGATAAAAAGAAGGGCACGATCGTAATAACACTGGCGTTTCTGGGCATTCTTTAAGATCCTCCTCCCTCGCAGTCTTCCTCTTCAATCGGACTCATAAAGCAGAGGAAAGAAGAAAACTGAGAACAGAAAGGAGAGAGAGAGAGAGAGAGAGAGTCATGGCGATGAGAAGGATGAGGCTAACTACGCATCTATTCTCCATTTTCGGCAAGACCCAGGTGATGAAACCGGCTCGGGTTCCTCGCGGGTCGACCCTGATCGGGTCAGTGACCAGCCGTTTGTTCTCCTCCGCTTCGTCGTCGGCCGCTGCTGTGATGGAGGATGAACCAGAGATGTACGGGCTTGGACGCGGACTTAAGGACTACGAAGATTACCGGAGATCTCTCTACGGTGAAATCACTCACAAGGCGTTGCTCGTCGACGCCGTTGGCACTCTCCTCGTTCCCGCCCAATCCACGGCCCAGGTCTCTCTCTCTCTCTCCCTGTGAAATGGGTATCTGTTATGAATCATTATATTTCCTGGGAAGATTCCAATGATACAGTTGCTTCACATGTTTTTCGTTGTTGTGGTGTCTGAGCGTAATCTGCAACTGGGAATTTCCAGATGGTTAAACTAAACTGTTTCGTATGTTTTAATAGTGATTCCCACTTTTTCTAGATTTCTGTTCGACAACGATCGATGCGTACTGTTGATTTTTTTTCTGTATGGGAGGGAGCAGATGCTTTGATTCTCGTACTGCCTTCTGTAGGTCTTTACTGTTGTCCTAATAAAATGTGGAAACATACGCGCAAGTTCTGATTCGTGGTCGATTCTTTTCTGTAGATATACAGGACGATTGGAGAGAAATATGGAGTTCAGTACTCGGAAGACGAGATACTTAGAAGATACAGAAGGGCTTACGAGAAACCATGGGGTGGATCTCGTCTCAGGTCAATCTCGTTTTTCTCTTGTTTCGCTCCTCAGAGATCTTTTCTTTTCCCAGAAAATCATTTCCTGTTTGATTCATGGGCTTAAGAGTGTTTTCTCGTTGTGTTTCCCCATCTCTTGATGAGATGAGAATGCGCTTTGGAGAAAGAACTTTTCATCAAAACAATCTCGTCCGATAGAATTTTGGATTATGAACGAGCGATACCTGTATTGGTGTTGTCAGGTACGTGGACGACGCAAGACCCTTTTGGCAGTATATCGTGAGAGCTTCGACCGGCTGCTCGGATTCACAGTACTTTGAAGAGCTTTACAACTACTACACTACAGAACATGTGCGATTATGCCCAATCACTTCTTCACCCCTTATCTCTTTGTATCTGGTTTGTTTCTTCTCGAATATCTGTGTATGTATATACGTTCGATTTACTTTCCTCCAGGCATGGCAGCTGTGTGATCCGAAAGCAGAGACGGTGTTCAAGGCACTGAGAGAGACGGGCGTGAAGGTGGCTATCGTCTCCAACTTTGACACCCGGTTAAGGCCTCTGTTACGGGCCCTGAGATGCGAAGACTGGTTCGATGCTGTCACTGTTTCAGCAGAAGTAACAAACGCTTGCTTCTTCCCTCCTCGGCTCGGAGTTTGCATCTCTCGTCGAATTCTTGGTTGAATGATCTGACTGAAGCAGAGGATTTTGCGTGTTTTTACAGGTTGAAGCAGAGAAACCAAACCCGACAATCTTCTTGAAAGCATGCGAGCTGTTGGGAGTGAATCCGGAGGATGCGGTTCATGTGGGAGATGATCGCCGGAATGATATATGGGGAGCGAGAGATGCCGGATGCGATGCATGGCTGTGGGGAAGTGATGTTGCTTCCTTCAAGGAGGTAGTACATGAACACATGAACATGATCATCATCAACTCATCACCGTCAAGACTTCGGAAATGATGGAAATTTTTCTGATGATGCAGGTGGCTCAACGGATTGGATTGAAGATTTGAGAAGTCTGCCGAGACCAACAAACAGGAAGAAGAAGAGAGATGCTTGTTTTCGGAAATGTGTATAGGTTTGTGTTAGCTTTTTATCTGAGTTCTGTCTCTTGACGACCGTACGAAGAACATAAAAAGATTGTAAATGTAATAATAAAAAGAAGCTTCGAACGAAGACTTGAAGATTCAGAGTGTATGGCGAGCTGAGTATCTTTTTGGGCATGAATCTCGTTTGCGCAGATTCGTGTCGTGGAACAAACCGACGAGGACAGCCTCGGCGGCTTCCTCTAGAGCTCTGGAACCTCATCAGATCCGTCTTGAAGTCCTGAGCGATCTCTCTCACCAGTCTCTGGAATAGCAATTTCAGACCCGTGTATTCGACGAATGATTCACTTTCCTTCAATCGTAATCCCTTCAGAGTGCGGCGGAAGTGAGATCATCGATAAGAGAGGGCAGTGTAACCCTTCAGTATCCTATCTTATCAGAAACCAATTTCGCCGTGTGAGCGATAAATATGAAAGTCCAAGGCGTGTGAGAAACCATGGAGTTGTATATCAACTGAACCTTGCGACTCCACGGCTTCCCACACGCTTGCACCGGTAGCCAGGCTCTGATATCGGCTTCACACAATTTAATAACGAGAGCCTTAGCATATGTTTTGGGGTCTTAAAGGTAACATCGAGAAGAGAGCAGACATTATAATGGAAAGAGAGAGATGGGGTTCTTGCTTTTGTTTCATTTACAGATCAAAGGAATGAAGTAAAACATAACAAATATCCAATATTTCAGGGAAATCCCCCGAGATTTGCAAATTCCTAAAGACTCGGCCCTTATGGCGAATTCAAATCCAACAGAAGATGGGCGCCACACACAGTTCCCCGCCTGAATCTGCGCGGCTTCTTCACTCCTCCGGTCCCCATTTGATCGATCACGCAACAAGAAAGGAGATCTCTGTCTTGATCCTCCAAAGCCTCCACTTGAGTCCAAGTCTTCATTTGTTTGTACCCGAATCTCGTCCTCTCCAAAGCCTCCACTTGAATCTGAGTCTTCCATTGCTTAGAGTGTCTTCGGAACTTCTGCCTGAATTGGAGTCTTTGTCCAAAATCGGATGTATCGAAAAAGTATGATACCACCAAACCATATATATCCAATATCGATCCACTTGCAATTTTGGAATCTCAAGAATTCCATTCTATAACCTCGTAAGTCGGCATATAGCTGTTGAGTGAGATAACCTTTTAAATTCGGAAGCTCACCGATATTACAGCAACGAGAGGAAATTAATTATTCGTTTATTTATTTTTAATTGAAGGGCAAATGCTTATGCACAGGCTTACGTGAATGTTCTCTGTGTGAGGAAAAGCAGACATCTTCCACGTGCTTTGCACGTGTCTCCTCGGTTCCATCTCGAGCAAGTCCATGCAAGGCTCGTGGTTTAGACTATAGACTACGTCTCCCGAGTTTTTTATTTTTATTTTTTAATTCTTGAAACATATAAAACTAAATACAGACAAAACATAGCATATGCGCAACACGTGCCGACACACGCTCTTTTCAGACATACATTTCTCTTTATAGTAACATATAGTTTATATATATATATAAACCAAAAAAAACAGTTTATATATATATATATTATATATATATATATATATATATATGAACTGGCATGAGACATGAACATTCCAACTAACTCCTAATTAACCAACAGTTTCGAGAAACGAAAAACAGGAAAGAGGACAAAAAAAAAATGTGTGCATTGGTGCCACCGCTGTTCCCTAACTTCGGATGGCCTTCGACGTCGGAGGTGCAAATCTACGGCAGCGGAGATATTAACGACGGCGGGTTTCTTGATTTTCCGGAGGCGGATGCTCCGGAGAGTCTGAGAATACTGTCCAATTCATCGGCGGGGAAAGGGAAGAGCGACAAGACGGCGGCGAAGAAGCTTGGCCACAACGCCAGCGAACGCGACCGACGCAAGAAGATCAACGCCTTGTTCTCATCCCTCCGTTCTCTCCTCCCCTCCTCCGACCATTCGGTAATCATCCCAGGTTTCGGTTCAGTTTTTTTATGTTTGGGTCTGTTTATTTCGTTTTTAGAAAAATTATAACTATTCGATTAATTTTTATGTTAATTTCGATTTAGTTCGATTCGGAAATACGTTTTTAAGTACTAAATCTTTAAAGAAATTTTTGACTTTTTCAATTTTAGATAAGTAAGGACTATTGGTTTTTTATACCATAATCAACTCGATTACAATAATATGTGATTTAGATTAATTCGTCTTAATTATTCAATTATTAACCAAATTGATCACCCTATTTATCTATGATTTAGATAGAGATTTTATTCTCATCGGATCCAGATATAATAGAGCGTAGACCAATGATATTTTATAACCCGGTAATTCAAAGTAATGATCAAAATCATAATATATTCCAAGATGATTGTTAATGTTGTGTACATAGTAACAATATTTATAGACTCGTGCCCATATTGGATCGTTCTCAACTCCATTGAATGCACCAATTAATCATCAATCTCGACTATAGAAATGCCTCAATTTCCTTTCTCACGTGATTAATTAGATCGTATAATAATGGATTAAATGCAGAAGTATATTATAACAGTATATATATATATATATACACACACATGTATATACAGAGCCAGACCTAAATCAATTTCGAAACCCTTTTCGATGCAGAAGAAGCTAAGTCTTCCAGCCACGGTTTCACACGCCTTGAATTACATAGGGGAGCTGCAAGAGCAGATCAAGAAGCTTATTCAGAAGAAGGAAGAGCTCCTGCTAGGTCTATCAAGACAGACAGACATCATAACATCCCACAAAGGTAGGGATGATGATGATGACGATGATCATGGTCATGATCATGACACGCCAGTAAAGGCGATGAATGTCGGGTTTGCGTCCATTGTTTCGGCGACAAGGCTCGGCGAAACCGAGTTGATGGTCCAAATCTCATCGCCTAAGACCGTGAAATGTTCGTTTTCGAATGTCTTAACCGGTCTTGAAGAGGATGGTTTCGTTCTTATAGATGCTTCTTCTTCACTGTCTCGAGGAGATAGGCTGTTTTATACCTTACACTTTCAGGCTGAGGTTGGTGATAATTACAAGTTGAACGTCCAAGATTTGAGTGACAAGTTGTTGTCTTTGTACGAGTTCAGATGATTTACGTACATATATATATCTGTGTCCGTACGTTCCATAATCTCATGAATTAGAAATCTAAGTTTCTTCGTTCTTAATTAAACATGCTGGAAGATTTTGTCTATACGATTGTTTAATTAAAAAAATGACTTACAAAATTAATTTACTTACGAATCCTCGTTCTACCTAATTGTTTACAAATTAGTTGTCTGAATATTAAATAACGACAAGAAAAGAGAATTTAGTGAACGACCTACTAAACACTAATATATATATATATATATATATATATACTACAATTTTCTTTTTGTACAGTGGGGCAATCTGCCCTACAGCCGTTCGGATCGGACACCGGATATCGTAGCGGCTTTCATCTCAGTGGGTCGACCAAAACAGCATCGCGGACAGTAAAACCCTACTCCTATGCGCACAAGCCTGCAACACACACGTGAGAGATAAATTAGCCATAACCGACAGACGATAGATAAGCGGTAAGGAGTCGAACGCCCAACCTCTTGGTATGTTGACCATGCTACTTGCCAACTCACTTGGGGTTTCCCCAATATACTACAAAAATTATGTCAAAGTCTGCACAATATTTTGGTTATCAAAGGAAGAATTCCGTAAATCATTTCGGCATTAGCAACACAGATTCATATGTGTGTTGAGGTGTCAAACAGGACGGTCTGATCCAAATTCGCTCTCGACCCGAAGGTTTCAGACTCGGATTTGGGTTCGCCTGAAAAAACAATCAAGTCCAAAATCAGATTCTATAAAACTCGGGTTTGGGTTGGGTGGGCTGAGGTTGGCCGATTTGTTCAATTCTTTCCTTATTAATGTTTTTTTTTTCACTTTTTTAAGCATTAATTGTTTTTTCAAAAATACTATATCAGATTTTTAGGCCGATCTGAAATCCGTTTTGAGTTCGATGCGAAAATCTAAATTTTTTCATGTAAAAAAATTTGGACTCGAAATCTGATAATTTTTCGGATGGGTTCGAATTAAACTTTCGGATTTCGAATCTAAATTGGCATCCTCTCTGCGAGTTATTGAGGTATTGTATGGCTCCCTCATTCTTGCTTCTTAAAATGCATACTTTGGGCCTCTTAGCTTTTGCTAGATTTTTATTTTTATAACATTAGAATTTTTGAAAATGATATATATATCATTTAGGCTAAAAAAGACAGAATTTTATATCTCTTCAGATTAGTGGAATCTGAAGGTGACGTTAACAGAAGAAAATCGACAAAAAAAAAAAGTCACTCGGCACAATTTTGATTATCTACCCTATTAACAGCAAAAAAATTACAAAATTAAAAATAAAAATAATGAATAAGGGCAGTCCAAAATAAAACAGCTGCAGAGGTGAAGCTGTAAAAGCCAAACGAGTTGAGAATAAAAGGAGAATATTTTATATTAAAAAAAACGAAAATGGGTGAAATAATAATAAGACAATAAGAAAGACAAATGGAAGGCAAAGTACATGAGACCGAAGACAGATGCAATGTATTCACTTTCCCAATTTAGAAGTTAATTATATTTCTCACCTTTTGCAGGCACCACACAACTTGCTTTCTCATCTCATAATTTGTCAAACGACTTCTTTTTTTTTAATGTTTCATATATATATATATATATATATCTATTAATATTATTATAAGAATGACTTTTATTAAATGTGGTTTACCCATATGAAAATATTCTTGGTGAGTAATTTCTTTTTTCGATATTTTTCAAAAATAAGGGGAAATAGAGATTGATATTTTATGTTTCACTCATCCTTGTGTTTGGCTATATTTTTTTTAATTTTTCATTCAATGTTTTTATTATTTCTATAATTATTCAAATAATTAATTTTTAGATTGAAATTGGGTCTAATATACTCCTGCAACGTATTTGATTTGACCGAATGGAAGTTGAAGAGAAGTGTCGACCACTAGAAGGAAAAATACAAAATAATAATGTGTATACATAGGAATATATATGATAGAGAATCCGGTCGTTATCATTTGACCTACAAAATCTAAAGATGTGGAATGTTCATTGCATCTCTCTGTGTATGCGTGGTTACTTGCGTATAAATATTGGTAAAGGTTTTATTCTTCTTGCGTATAAATATTGGAAGAAACGCAATCCCACAAAAAAAAAAAATAACAAAAATATATAGGCTCTATGAACCTATTTGAATGATTAGTTCAACGAATGAATTATTCGACAAAGAATATATATATATATATATATATAATATATAGTAACTAACAAATTCTATATATGAAATAATTTTAACTATATTAATTGTAAAGATTTTAGATACATTAGTTGTAGAGACATGTGAATGATTTTATTTAGTAAAATCGTTTTACTTATTTTGAGATTTAATTTAATTTAGTTTAGTTTGAAAAAAAAAATATATTAGTTTAAAACTGAAATGACATTATTATTATGAAATTTTCCTAAAAAATCATGGACAGATCAGTAATATGCCAGAGGTATTCTCTTTACTATATATCCATATATATGCATTATAATTACTTTGTAACAACTAATAAGGTATGTAACCTTGTTATTACCTTTTTTTTATGCAATCTTTAATAATTTCCCTTGTTTCACACTAAAACTATATTGCGACGTTGCTCCAAAATAATGATTATCAATAATTAAAAGTAACAATTTTATTCAATACATTAAAATAATTCCCAATATGCTAATTACAAATACAGCTAAAAAACTAAATAAAACCATGCGAGAGATTTGATTAAAACATTGGGCGAAGTGCTGTTTTCTGATTTAGTTAGTTGAATAAAGACATAAGCACAGCTGTGCCTGACCCTTGTAGTTGTACGGGCACATTGGAATTCCCTGTTGGATATTTCTCAACATGTCCTTTTTTGTCAATAAAAATATCGTCCCTTAATCATATATTATATTATATATATATATATATATATATATATATATATATATATCCTCTCTCTCTCCCGCTCCGGCTATATATACACCACAAACACAGGGAGAGACACACACATATACAGAGATACGTTACTATGACCAGAAAACAGTGTTTTCTATTTGATGCTACATCTATATATGGGCATGGAAGATGACGAGCAAGCGTGATCATGAGCTGAATCAACGGTTGAGATTCGAAGTTACGCAAAAGCAGACAACTTTGATGGTCGGCTCCTTCACCGCAAGATCCGTCGTTCTGATGGTACTTTTGTCTCTGTCCCTTCTGATTCTGCCGCCGCTTCTTCCGCCGCCGCCGCCTCCTCCTCCGCCGCTCCTCTTCCTTCCGCTCCTCCTCATGCTCCTCCTCCTTTACTTGGCCTTTTCTCCTTCTCAAGAACCAAACCTCCCCGTAGCCTCCATCTGAAATCCATTCACACACACACACATATAAGTATGTATATGTATGTGTATGTGTAAATCTTGGGGTAGATCTCTCTCTAGTTTTGATGGATTTCATGTAACTAAAGCTAGCCTAGTCGCTGGGTTCGACGGGTGGTACGTGACACTCGTTCGGTCGCTGAGGGGTGCGGAATATAGCGGACCGAATGTGTCGAGAACCTCGGACTTGCTGGGAAAATCCGGGATTCTTGAGGGGAACCGAGACTAGGATCCGGACTAGTCAAGGTCGAGGTGGGATGAGTGCGGGCCTTGGTCTATAATGGGCCGAGTTCCAGTGTGGAACTAAGTAGACTTGGCCGAGGAATCTCGGACAAGGATGCGAGTCGAGGCGAGTGGGAATTTGGACGAGACCGAAGTTTCTCAGACAGATGCATTTCTCGGTACAAACGGTGTGCGGGAATCCTCGGGCGAACAACTCGGGTTGCGCAGGATTCCTCGAACAAAGCCGAATGACGGTACACGAGAAAGAAAAGGAGAAACGGGAGTTGGACCAATAAACCCAAAAAGCGAGGACGGTTTTATTAGATGACGAAGTAGAACAAGGGGGACGCCGTCGGTTTGTAACAAGATTAACTCCAACATTCTTGCCTCATGGAAGAATCACGGGACAGTTGAAGAAACGGTTTTTTCAATGTTCGAAATTGTAACAACACAAGAAGATTTTAACATTGACACCCAAATTATCCAAATCATATTGTAATTTATAAAAAAAATAACCATAAAAAAAAATTTATTTGCAAGAAGATAAATGGTGTCTATTGCTTTTCCATTTGTTTGGTCAATTTGGAAGAACTGAGAAGAAGGATTTTTTAAATTTAGAGAAGATTTTTCTTTACGAAACGTCAATATATATATGAAGTTAAATTTTGTTTGAATATATATTTAGATTCCATTCGAAGAATACTACAATTACATATTTATATTTTATTCTAATTAAATATATCTCCATATATCATGAATTTTTTGTTTTATAAATTAAAGATACTTGACTCCTTATATATTTGTATTCTCTCAAAATTTCACAATATATATATTAACACAATAAAGAATATATTTTTAGCTTCCCAACGAGGAGCATATAATGTACTAAACTCTAATACAGGTACGATTTTACAAAGAAAAATATTTAGAATCAATTTACTATTCTGCTCATTTTTTTTTATTATTTTTTAAGATAATCTCACACAAAAAAATTATACGAAGACAAAAAATGAGAAGAGCAAAATATGTTTTCTACCATCCATGATGAACTCTAAAATTAAAAACAAACCCAGATTTTAATTATATCGAAATCTTAATGCAATATTATTATCTCAACAAATATGTTAATTGTATTTTCGTAGATATTATCATTTATAAATATTATATTATTATAAATATATGAAAAAATGGTCATACAAAATAATTGATTGACATATTCCACCAAAGAAAGTCAAACGTTAGATGTGACTTTTTATCATGATTACAATTATCTATTATCATCAAAACTATATGTTCTTAATAGAATTTATGGATGAATATTGTCGGTCCAATTGATTATCAAAGGAGCCAAGTTCATTTCAAAACAAACATCCATTGACCGCTACTCCACATGTTCATGCATGCATCTATACCCATTAATTAGTTGAAACCTTCTTTTCTAACGAGACGAGTGGTTGAAAATTATGCAATTAA